TTCTATCCGGAATGACTACAACAAGAACAAATTACATTTGTAGGGCATGTTTCACGTTGGAAGGACGTCCCAAAGCGCTGGACAGTCAGGGATTTCGTCCCGAGCAGAGGGTTGTGATCAGTGGGGGTGAAGGAGCGGGGTGGGGAGTAGGGATAGGAGGGTGGCCGAATGCGCACAGTTGAAGAGAATGGTCCTGAGATATGCTTTGAAGGAGGCAAAGGAAGGAGCAGGATGAAGGGACTGTGGGATGGAGTTCCAAAGATGTGGGCAGAGCTGACAAAAGCACACGGGGAGATGAGGAGGTGGAGAGGGGATGGGAGTGCTGTGGTCAAGGTCATCAAGGGAGAGTTCAACCACATCAGAGTTAAACAAAATAATAGCTATCAATAATGAAACAAGCTACTTCAGGTACTTTATGAACTGACTGAACATTTCTTCTGAAAATTGTTAGGCAGAACAACTTGTAGGAGTCCTGTAGCTCAGTGGTTAGGTCGCCTCACAAGCGAAAGACCTGGCAGGGCGAACCCTTCGGCAAGTTTCCTTACCCCACAAGCCTGATAATAATCCCTCAACAAAAAAAATAAATTTGTCCCTTCAATCCACGACTGTTTTTGGGACGCTCCTGTGCGCAATTGGCTGCCGCATTTCACCCACAAATATATAGTCAATTCACTTTATAGTATATTCTGTGAAGCGCTTTGAGACGTCTAGAAGACATGAAAAGCGCTTTAGCAAATGCAAGGATTAGTATTCTAAACTTCAGAGAGAGGGCAGGTTGGTAAAGTGTTATAGGTCGCAGAGGTCGGGAGAAGCGTGACTGCGGATGGCTTTAAAAGCGAGGATGAGGATGAAACAATGAAATAGAGGAAGGCAAGAACGGTTGCAATAGATAAGAAGTTGTGAGAAGGACAGTTTCTACTCATCAAACTCTTTGGTGGTTCTAAGGATAATCTAGTGTGGTTACAACTGTCCCATTAGTAACAGTAAAGACAGGGATAGATAGAAAGAAAGAGTTAAAAGAAAAATCTTTGTAGAAAGAGTGGTTGGTATTTGGATTAAAATGAAGGCGATTGTCAATGCCAATTTCTAGAAAGCAGTCAGTGATGCATCACCACTGTTCCTGCAGATGACACTGATTTACAGTCCATATGTGCTTCATAAATCATCAGAACACATGGGGCCTGGAAGAGCCTGTAATAATAATAATCCTAGCATTTGAATTCGCGCCTTATCATGTCTTCGAGATGTCTCAAAGCATTTCACAGATTATACTGTAAAATGAATTGACTGTATATTTTGTGGGTGAAACGCAGAAGCTGTAACTTGTAGAAGGGAAGTCTGAAGGAAGTGGTAGGAAGAAGGGAAGTCTTTATACTTTTTCTGCTCTCTGCTTCCTTGCTGTGCTGAAATTAAGATTCACTTCAAGACTCCCGACCAGGCGAGTAAAATTAAAACCACTCATGAGCAGTGGGATTTGGAGGAGGTCAGGATGACAGGGACAATTTTAACAGACACAATCTGTTAAAAGGAAAATTCACGTTGTACCTTTGGCCTGAATTTCAAAGGTTATTATCTGCACAAGTTTATTCAATCAATGCAAGAGAATAGATGTGGATGTTTTTTCCCAGTTCACTGAGGACACAGAGTTCCACCAAACTGCCCCACCGACTGACCTCGCTTTCATGCAAACTTCAACTGGGTTAAATCTGCCTGTTCCATTGCTAGAAACTTAATAGCAAACAGGCTGCCGTGGTCACATAGTGAGTGAGGGTTACTCTAGGGCTAGAGGAACGGTTGAGCTGAAAACTACACAATGCCAGGAGTTTCCACAACACCAACAATGAGAGAGATATGATCAAAAGGAGACGCTTTGATCCATTGTGTTTCTACTGGTGTTCCACCACAAAAAACATCTACTCTAATCCCATTCCCCTGATCATTCCCCATACCCTTTTATACTCTTTTTAAAATATTTATCCAATTATCTTTGAAATATATCGGCCAGAGATACAACAGGGACAGCATTCCATATTTTAATAACCCTCTGTGTGAAAAAGTCTTCTAATCGCCTCCTCAATTCCTCCAGCAATAAGGCTGAGTTTAGACATATTTGTTGGCAATTTATCAAGAAGATGGAATAATCTTTCAACAACAACAAAATTACATTTGTATAGTGCCTTTTACATCGAGTTGATGTCCCAAGGTGCTGGACAGTCAGGAATTAGGACCTCACATAGAAACCTCTCACAGTCAACAGACACCAGGGACTTCATTCAATCAGTTTGGGCCCGAGTTTGGGACCCGAGCTGGGGGTTGGAATCGGGGAGGGTGGAGGGCAGTGGGGGAAGCAGGGTGATCGAAAGCACGGTCGAAGAGGTGGGTCTTGAGATGAGTCTTGAAAGAGGCAACGGAGGGGTGAGGCAGTGTGTGGGATGGTGTTCCAGATGGTGGGGTCAGAGTGGTGGAAGGCCCGCCTGGCCAACGGTGGGGCGAGTGAGGCGGGGGACGGGAAGCAGGCCAGAGCCCGCTGAGCGGAGGAAGCAGGCAGGATGGTAGTGGGTTAGGAGGTCACAGAGGTAGGGGGGAGCAAGACCATGGAGGGCTTTGAAGGTGAGGACCAGGATCTTGAACTGTATCCTCTGTGTGATGGGAAGCCAGTGGAGTCAGGCGAGGATGGGGGTGATAGGGTCACGGAGCCTGGTGCAGGAGAGGACATGGGCTGCAGAGTTCTGGATGATCTGCAGCCTATGGAGCGAGGAGGTGAGGAGGCCAATACTGTCTACCTTGAAAACTTTTCAGGTTTTGATTTCTTTTTATTAGATGCATCAGTCTGGCTTAGTTTGCATTAGTCTCTGACGTCCTACTGATATGAAAGGCGCTATACAAATGTAATTTACAACAATAATAATCCTTGCATTTGATTTAGCACTTTTCACGTCTTCTATATCAAATACTATATCAAATGCAAGGATTATTATTATTATTATTCTAGACGTCTCAAAGCGCCTCATACAGCACTACATATTCATACTGAACTACAGCACTTCAAATTGTTGTTGTTTTGTTAGTTGGTAGCTCTCTTGCCTCTGATTCAGAAGGTTGTGGGTTCAGAACCCACATCAGGACTTACAGCTCATATAATCTATGTTGATGCTCCAATGCTAAGTGCTGATGGGGCTCTTTATTTTTGGAGGGGCCGTCCTTTGGACGAGATATTAAGCTGAGGTCCTGTCTGTCTATCTGTCAGGCAGATATTAAAGATCTCAGGGGACTATTCGAAAAGGGAATGGAGTTTCTCTCTCCTGGTGTCCTGGTCAACAATCTACAAATTAAAATTGACCGTTAACTTGATAGCTGTGCGTCATTTCTGTTACAAATTGGCTAGCATATTCTCCACAAGGTACACATTCATTTCATTTTACAGTACATTCTGCTGAGATACATGAGATGTGCTCCTGATGTGAAAGCATTATTTGTAGATTCCCTCTTAACCTTCATTGTTTTACTGAAAAGATACAAATTTATTACATTATAAGGATAGACTGGAAAGAGTTGGGGAGGTGTGTCTAGTTTAAAATAGAAAGGGAGAATTTACAGGAGAAATGTTTCAACAAAAGCAAGCAATACACCGCAGGACATAGCGGTTCTGGCTGGCATTGCTGGGTATGTGGAGGGGGAAAATAATAATAATCCTTGCATTTGAGATGTCTCAAAGCGCTTCACAGAATATACTGTAAAGTGAATTGACTGTATTTTGTGGACAAAACGCAGCAGCCAATTGCGCACAGCAGCATTTCACAAACAGTCGTGGATTGAGTGACCAAATCATTATTATTATTTTTTTTTGAAGGAATTATTATCCTAGGAAACCAGGTTCCTACTTACTGCTGGGCAAACTGAGACGTGGAAAAGGAAAAGAGGAAGAATGCTCTCAGTAAGATTGTCAGGGTTGGTGCAGAATTTAGGGGATCGATAAGCACCCTTGAGATTTGAGTTTTGGACAAGAACTTTTGGAGATCCGGAGACAGCTATTCCGAGCTTTCCCTTAGGCAAAAGAATGAATGGAATCGATCGCTCGTCAGAACACCATGAGGTCGGGACTGATATTAACCAACAAATTTTGCACGACCATTAAATTTTACAAAAGTTTGCAGCATACGGTTGCCTAAGGCTCTTAACAGACCAAAGCTATACTGCAATTAATATTATAATCTAAATGTCTGGTCTACCCTCGCACTATATTACATTACGCCATAAAGCAACAACCAGCCGTGAAGGCTCAATATTCACCATTAATGAGCAGCTGCCACGATATTATTTCTTGGAAGCTGTAAATACCATCACAGCTGTGATGCTATTTATTTAGTAAATATTCAAAACAGGCTTTAAACTTTGCAAACCAACCCCTTCCCATGGCCTTGGGAGTAAAGGCACTACCCAGTCCATATTAATAATAATAATCCTTGCATTTGATATAACGGCTTATCACATCATCGAGACATCATCAAAGCAAAACCAATGTGCATGTCTACACATTATTCAGGGAGGAGGGTCACTGGAGCAGTTAATTTTCACCTGCCGAACCCTGAATCCAATTTCAGCCCCAACTGCTGCTCCGAATGAGAGGAACTAGCTCAGCACGCTCAAACCTGCCACCCTCCTGCCCTTTGGACTTATTGTATCCTGGTACCATCAGGGAAGCTATCAACGTTTTAGTGTTAGAATTTTGATTAGAATATGACCCCCGCTCTATCCACCCTACTTTCGGCAGGTGGGTTTACAGCCATTCTACTCTTTGAAACTCTCAGCGATTTTTCCTCACCCTTTAAAGGTCAATCTCAAGATGTATCTCTTTGGCTGCTTTTGCTCATCTCTCCCCTATGAACACTTCTGCTCCCACCCCCGGCTCAGCAGTGTATAGCTCTTTGAGAAGTCCTCCTGATATGAATGGTACTATTTAAATTGTATCGTATAGAGTAAAGAGTGAAATAACTACTCACAAAAGCCTCAGCGTATTCTATCTTAGCGTTTGTGACTTCTGCCTTAAACTGGGTGAAGAACAAGTAGGATTTTCCCTGAGGTCTGAAAATGAAAGAGAAAACATCATCAGCACTTAATATGCCTCACGTAATGATAGGATTAATTTACCCAAAGGCTAGAACCTCCCAAAATAGCTGTTCCCCAGAACCTGCACCAGATGGGCACTGAAATTAATCAACAATTTTGTACAGTAGCTAAATGCAGCACAAAATAAATCAAACGGTGCCAATGCAAGTGAGGTACTTCCAGCAGGATTCATGGGTATTGATTCCTCTTCTCTCTCCCACAACACCAAACTCTGGCTGATGTTGACTGGACCAGAACATAGCAGAAATAACATCTGGGAGCTTAACATTGCATGGCTTATACATTGCACTCAACCATTGGGGTTGGAGGTGGGGATGGGGGCGGAGAACTAGAGAGAAATCTGCAACAAAAGGGTTTCCAAAAGAACTAAGTTGTCCGATTGCCAAATTCTGCAAATTTCGAAGCCAGTTTCGCACTCGGTAAAAATGTGTACATAGTACATGTGTTTAGCTGGGATTATTTGATTACTTTCCCCCTTTCAGATTCACTTTGCTTCACTGTCAGAACTGTGGAAGGAATTCTCGATGGTAATTAACTGAATGCCAAATAGTATCAACCCACTAAAACACAGTGTCGGTCTGGATCAGTCACTCTGTAATCTGCACCAGAAAGGTGTAGATTTGAGATCCACATGAGGATTTGTTTTACGAATCCAGGCTGACATGCCAGAGCAGGACTGAAGGAGAATTGCAATGACTGAGGTGCTATTCCTCGACTGAGACAATAAACCAAACCAAGTACTTGGGGGATTCAGGTGGATGCTAAAGATCCTGTTGCATTATTTGGAAGAAGATCGAGGAGTTTCTCCGTTTGTCCCAATGAATGTTTCCCCCTCAGCTCCAATTCACCAATAAACAGAGAAATTTGTCATTGCTGTGTTTGGTGACAGAGGGATAATCCTGGAGGCGAAGAACAACCCCAGACTTCTGTTTTCAACCCGCGCAGGTCATCTCCTCCAACCTTCACGGCGAGGAGATGCTGGATTTCCTTGAATCCAAAATCAAGGGATTTTGCTCCGCGGTCACTGCCCCTCCAACTTCCACCCAACCCCCACCCCTTCCCTCCCACCTTCCGACTCCTACCCATCCTCCCCTACACACCTTCAAACCCCACCCTCTGTCACCAAACTCATCCTGTCATTGAAATCCACCACCTGCTCCCTGAACCCCATCCCCACTCCACTCCTTATCTCTCAGCTCCACCTCCTTGCCCCACTTCTCACAGACACTATTAACCTGTCCCTCTCCTCTGGCTCTGTTCCCATTCCCCTCAAAAACTGCCACCATCACTCCCACATTGAAAAAATCCTCCCTTGATGAGTCACAGCTCTCAAGCTACCGGCCCATCTCCAATCTCCCCTTCCTGTCCAAGGTCCTTGAAAGAATCGTCGCCTCCCAGCTGCGCTCTTTCCTCTCCACCCACTCACTTTTTGAACCCCTTCAATCGAGTTTCCGTGCTGCCCATAGCACGGAAACCGCCCTGGTCAAGGTCACCAATGACATCTTCAACCATCTGCGACCAGGGCTCCCTCTGCCTCCTCGACCTACCGGCCGCATTCAATACGGGCGACGACTCTATCCTCCTCTATCGCTTGTCCTCCCACCTCAACCTTCAAGGCCCTGTCCTTGAGTGGTTTAGGTCCTACCTCTCCCACCGTCTTCATTTTGTCTCTGCAAAAGGCTTTGCCTCCACCCCCCGCACTGTCTCGTGCGGTGTCCCTCAGGGCTCTGTCCTCGGTCCCCTCCTCTTCACCCTCTATGTGCTCCCCCTTGGTGACATCATCCGCAGACATGGGGTTAACTCCCACATCTATGAGGATGACACCCAACTCTACCTTTCCTCTTCTACCCTCAACTCCACGACCACCGATGTCCTGACAGCTGTCTGTCCGACATCGAGTCCTGGACGAGAGACAACTTTCTTCAGGCCAATGTGTGCAAAACTGAGGCCCCCCTGATAGGCTCACGTCAGCGCCTCCGCACCTCAGACGCTGACAGCATCAGCATCCAAGGCTGCACTCTCCACCTCTCAAAGCCATCAGGAACCTCGGGGTTCTGTTTGACCCTGAGCTGTCCTTTCTTCCCCACATCCGCACCACAACTGGCACCGCCTTCCACCACCTCCGGAATATCGCCAGACTATGGCACTACCTCACCCCTCACGCTGCTTTATCACCTCAAGGCTGGACTACAGGAACTCTCTCCTCGTCGGCCTTCCCGGCCCTCCCTCCACAAGCTGCAGGTCATTCAGAACTCTGCAGCTCGTGTACTGCCCGCACCAGGCTTCGGGACCACATCACTCCCACCCTCGCTCACCTCCACTGGCTCCCCATCCCCCAGAGGATCGAATTCAAGATCCTCACCCTCACCTACAAGGCCATTCACGGCCTCGCCCCCTCCTACCGCTCCGACCTACTATCCCCGTACATACCTGCTCGTACCCTCCGTTCCTCTGGCTCCGGTCTGCTCCACATCCCCCGCCCCAACCGCCCTACCATCGGTGGCCGGGCCTTCAGCCTCTCAGCCCCGAGGCTCTGGAACTCCATCCCCCAGTGCCTTCACCGCTTCCTCCCTTTTCTCCTTCAAGGCCGGTCGCAAGACCTTTCTCTTCAGCCGTGCCTTCAGCTCCCCTCTCGACTCTCTACCCCCTCCTCCCTTCCCTCCCCTCACCCTGACCATTTCCCCTCTGCTCGGGTCCCGACCCAACTATCCAGCGCCTTGGGACGTCCTCCTGAAGTTAAAGCCGCTCTATAAACGCAATCTTGTTGTTGTTGTTTGGTTTTGGGGAGGAGGGGGTGGAGACAGGGGGTATTGCTAGTGCAGATCGTCTGTTGCGTTTGCCTACAGAACGGGCACGGCACTTCAAACTAACTAATTACATTAGCGTTTTGAGACATTTCAATAGACCAGATGTAAGCAGCTACTTACCGCCAAATGGAACAGGAAAAGAGCTTGCTATCTTCGTTGACACCGAGACTCATTTGCCATTGCTGGAGGATGAGAAGACAGCAACAATTCACTGAATGAAAACATGTATTCAGCACATAATCAGGCACGACATGTTCACTCTTCCTCTCCTGAAAGTGTTCAACACCTTCTGTGGAAATGTGATTCCACTGGCAACAAACAGGTGTTCTCTCGTACCTCAACGAAGTGGCTAATATTCATGCGTTATCCAATCCTGTCTTCCGCAATATCTACACAGAAGCCCATTCCGGCAGGGAATCAGTGATAGTCCTTGATTGCAAGAAACCCTGGCTGATTATTTTTAAGCCTTCCTACCCCCAGGGATGTTGAGGTCAACTGTAGTTCCATCTAAGAAATCTGGGACTTTCCTTGGCTGTTCCCCCAGTGTCTTTATCAACAAAACAATCAGGGGAGCAATTTGCTGCCCTTTTGAGGGAGGGAAGTGCTTTAACACAAAGCTGAATGGGGTTCGAGATTTCAAATGATTCCATCCAACAACTTGCATTTGCACAGCGCCCCTCATGCAGGATAGCATCCTAGAGTGCTTGACAGTGGCGGAACACGACGACGAGTCAGGGAGAGGGGAGGTGACCGTAGACACTGTTATATAGGAAGGTTTGACCATTCGAAGGTTCCATCCCCATCTTCAGACACAACCAGAAGATGGGGATGGATGAGGCAAGCTGGAGGGACAGAGGAAGTGTTCCAGAGTTTCGGAGCATAGCAAACCAATGGTGGAAGGAACAGAGGGCATGAGGGACATGCACAAGGCCAGAGCCGGTCGAAAAATTCATACAACTAAACGTATGAATTTAATTTGACACATGGAATAAATTAAGTCAATTTCATTAGATTTCTGCTTACCTCATTGGTCCCTCCTTGTGAGGCGTATGTGAATGTACAAGTGTATCCGTCCTGAATAAAATACAGGACAATCAGTAATCTCTATTGAGATGCAATTTCATCTGAAATTACATTTAAGATGTGTATTTCACCAGATTTCTGGTTCAGATTACATTCAAATTAATTTGAATAAAAGTCCACTTGTGATCAGCACAATGACGGCGGAAGCTCTGAGCCCATTAGGAAGAAAGGAGTCAAACCCATAAAATCCTTACAATTTCATATAGCGCCTTTCACATCAGGGAGGACATTTCAATCAATTCACAGGATTTACTGTAAAGTATAAGGACTGTGTATTTTTGTAGGTGAACAGAGCAGCAATTTGCCGTTTTTTATACTCAACGAGCATCCACTCTCACCATCCCCCCCCTCCCCACACTCCCGTTTCCCTCACCTTTTCCTTTCAAAGATGAGAACGGGACTGTAAATAAATAATGGGAATATGGCAATACTTAATTCATTCTCAAAAGAGGACCAAAGCCTTATTTTAGTCCGCAAGTATAAAAATGTAGTTATAATTATATTACTAAATATGTGTATGTATATCTATATACAATTAATTTAATTTAGTGCATCTTTAATGCTGATCACAATTCCACATTTTGATTGAAATCCACATGAGGAAGTGCAGCGCCTCACCCCCAATCACGCTTTGGGGTTCCCAAACCTTGGCTCTTGCCAACCTGCGCCAAATACGTTCCGGAATTAGATAAAGCAGGGTGCGTCCCTCCAGGGAGAGAGTCCACATTCCATTCCAAATCACGGGAATTGGCACATGTGGGTGGGATGCATGGAATTCTCAGTTTGGTTTGGATACTCTTAAGCCTGGTGACGGGTTTCCACATGTGTTAGACATCCAGCTATCAAATAAAAAATGTGCAGTACTGAACAGTATCTCGTCCTCAGATAATTGGTCTGGGCTGGGACAGTAACCTGATCTGGCAGTAAAACTGGAAACAACTGATCTTTAAATCATTTCAATTCATGCTCTATTTAACTGCCCTTCCGGCTCCACTGATCTGCATTTTAAAACAGCGTTTAATTAACCCGCGGGAATATTAAAAATTAAAGTGGATTGTTTTTGTTCAAACAGAAAAAACAATTAAATCAATTACATCAATTTTGAAAAATCATTTTTGATAGCAGAAAAATATATTTTTTTAACAAACTTTCCTTTTTAAAAACCTTTGCAGATTTGAATATGTTTTGTCGCATTTAAATCTCTCCCTGTTAATCCTCAGAGAATAGCCGATTATGTTACTCAACTCCAGTGAAACAGCATCCATCCATCCTATCTCCTCTCTCTCTTTCCCTCTCTACTTATCAGTTAAAAAAATAGCATTAAGGAAATTGACCTGTCAAATTTCATTGCGATCAGCTTCACATTTAACAGGTGTAAAATTGAATGCCAAAAAACTATATAGTCGCAAGGCCAGGGAGATTCCATTTTCTGCAACAGAAGAAAACATTATGCAAATACTTTGGCGCAAACGTATTTTAAAGCCATAGATCAATAGCTGGTGCTAAGTCTTCAGGCACGTCTCCATGTCTCACTGAATTTTATTCCTGGCTTTAAGTCCCTCAGATCTTTGTAAATCAAATTCAACCAATGCATGCACTTTCCAGTTGATGGAATGAGGCACGGGGGAGGTAAGGAAAAGTACCTTTACTTTGAGGGGAGTTAATAGGCAGAATTCGCTATTAGAACTCCTCGCTCCCAAAGCTCGGAAGCGGGCTGCCACGAGCTGTTTAAGGAATGCTTAGCAAAATCAGAGCAATATGGTTTGGCATAGTTTTATTTATAGCATCTTCTCATCACGGAACGGTTCCTACATTTATTTCCCTGGCCTATCCACCGCCAGTCCTGAAGGCATTTCCGACTCCTTTTTCCCTTTTCTACTGGGAAGAACAATAACACAGGCAACTCACCCTCGCGTATCTCTTCCAAGTAATACTTATTCACGCATGATCTTAGACAGATCGTTGGCAGGTTATGCACAGAGTTGGGCTGATATGCTTTATCAGCTACCTACATTCACAAACCCTGAAGCGAGTCACACTGACAGCGCCAACTCACTGCTATCAGAGTCCTTGCGTGTTATCCTGCACAATCTACCATGTCAAGTGGGTTAGAGTAATGATAATAATAATCCTTGTATTTGATATAGCGCTTTTCACATCTTCAAGATGTCTCAAAGCGCTTCACAGAATATACTATAAAGTGAATTGACTGTATAGTTGCAGGAAAATTGCGACAGCCAATTGCGCATAGCAGTGTCCCACAAACAGTCGTGACCAAATTATTACTATTATTTTGTTGAGGGATTATCATCCCCGGAAAAGCAATCCGCCAATCGACTAATAACTGGGTTCCTACTTATTACTAGGTAAATAGAGGCGTGTGGAATGAGGATTTCGCCCTGTCCGGGAATGGAACCCAGGTCTCCAACTAGCGAGGCAAGTGCTCTAACCACTGAGTTACAGGACTCCATGATGGGTATACAGTAAATGAAATACTTTCAAGAGAACTCAGCGCTCGTGAAATGAACTCAACCATCCACCGGGATCACTTCCTTCTCGTGAGAGCAGTACTTTTGAGTCTGAAAGAGATTATTACTCTTTTTCAAGGCTGGTTTTGGTTTCAATATAAGGGTGGTGGAAACAGATTCATTAACAACTTTCAAAAGGGAATTGGACAGGTTCAAGAGGAAAAATTTGCAAGGATATGGGTAAAGAACAGGGGAGTGGGACTGATTGGGTACATCTTCCAAAGAGCCGGTACAGGCACGATAGGCCAAATGGCCTCCTACTGTACTGTAATATTCTATGATTCTATACCGTAGCACAAAGAACTTGGTTAACAGCACGACTGTGAGCAATGTACTGAGATCTAAAATAGGAGTCTCAACAGGATTCGAGCAGGATTTGTAAGTATCGACTCCCTCTGGTGTTATGATGTGAGTCACACCAATCTGTGAGAACTCTGCTCCGGGAATCATAATAACAACATTCCTTGCATTTGATACAGCGCCTTACCACGTCGTCCAGGCATCTCAAAGCGCTTCACGGGATATACTGTAATGTGTAGTGACTGTGTATTTTTGTGGGCGAACCCGGCAGCCAATTTGCACAATGCAATGCTCCTCAAACAGCCACAAAAACCTCTTTTCTTCTTGAATCGTGCCATGGGATCTTTAACATTAGTAAAGGTTGTTAATAATAATTAGTCTATATTACTATTGTTATAATAATTTGGCTGCATTTGGAAAGGCGGTGTTTAGATAAACTGTAAGCCACATTCATTCCGATCTCAGTCAGGGTTGCTCCAGGGACTCTGGGGAAAGAGGAAAATCAGCCGGGTTTTTCACTGCTGATTGCTCTCCGATGTGCCTGCTGGAGTGTGAGTGCGTATTTACGCCACACCTTGTTCAGGTGGACGCTACAGATCCCATGGCACTGATCGAAAAGAAGGGAGCTTCTCCCAGTGTCCTGGCCGACAGTCCCTAAATGTAAATTTAAGTTGTTGTAAATAAAAATGTGTCATAAGTCGATCATTCACTTGTTTTGCGGGGACGTTGTTGCACGCAAGTTGGCTGCAGTGTACACCTACAAAATACACAATCACTTCACTTTACAGTATACCTTGTGAATTGTTTGAGACATCCGGAATGAAATGCAAAGCATAATATACAATCCACAAAATATACAATCAAATCACTTTACAATATATTCTGTGAAGCACTTAGAGACATCTTGAAGACTTGATAAGGCGCTATATCAAACGCAAGGATTAATATTATCATTATTTGCTTGTCCCCCCTGCTGGTGAAAACTCTCTCTCGCTGTCAAGGCTCAACTGTGAATTACATGAGCAAGATATCCCAGTCATGGTGGAGCTGCACCTTTTAGCAGAAGAGAAAACGTCTTCAGGAGATAAGAAGGGGGAATTATGAAAGGAAAAAGTTTGAACTTATCCTGAAACTTTTATTAAAAGTTTCATGACAGAACACAACAAAATAATATGCAGGAATGATCGATTATAGCACCGAGTAACGTGAAAAATGTAACTATACAATTTAACAGTGGGGTGTCTTGGAAGATTGAAGGTACTTTATATCTGTTAAGCTGGATTTTAGATGCTAATGTTTGTCTCCTTGGAAACAGACCAGATACTTGATGGTGCCCATCAATGAAATGTCATATCGCAATGCATCACTTTATAGGTATTTTTGTTTTTCTTACAACAAAATTGATTTGTGACTGGTCGACAAGGGGCTAGTAAACTAAATCTATGGTGAACTCTGTGCCAGGTGTCCTCGTCCTTGCCTGGCGAGTCCTTGAAATCTTCTTTGCTTTGCAAAGCTCAGTGAAATGTCGTAGATTTAGTTATTCCATGCCAACAGTGACATATACAATGATAAAGGTCAAGGTAAGCGAATTGGTGAGCGGCTGTTTAGTCACTTACCATCAATGGCGCTGACTACTGCGAAACAGGTCATCCAGGGCACTGCTTACGAAGGACAAGGCAGTCTGGCTCATCAACAGGACTTGGGAGAGGCATATCAACATCTTGAGGTAGGGATTCTTCCCACTTGGTTCCTGCTTGGTTGCTCGGGTCATGACCCAACTGTGCAGCGCCTTGGGACGTCCTCCTGACGTGAAAGGCGCTTTATAAATGGAATCTTGTTGTTGTTGTTGTTGCAAACAAGCCTTAAGAATAGGGTGGTCCTAGCTAGACAAATTGATAGTGCTCTCTATGGCAAGCTATACGGTTTTAGCTGGTTGAACTCCAGCCCTTGATAACCTGCACCAAATACCCACCAGGGTGCACCACTCCAGCGAGAGTGTGCGCGTTCCATTCCAGACACCAGGTTTTCCAGGTGTAGGTGGTTTACATGTGCAGAATTCTGTTTGGTTTGAATACTCTAAATCGGATTCACCATGGTTCATACCTGAGCTTAGGGTCAGCGAATGCTGGGGTAAAAAATGGTGATGTCAAACAGGATTTCGTAAGAACAATTCCTAAGCCTCAAATGACTGCTAATCAGAAGTACTTATTTCATGTTAGTCAGTAACAACAACAACAACTTGGATTTATATAGCGCCCTCCACGCCGGACGGCGTCTCAGAGCGCAGTACTTCATAATGGGGGTAGAAATGCAGGAGTGTATACAGTGTGGGTACACTGTAAGTGATGATCATCGCAGACACAGAATGCTCTCCCCCACCGGCCTCAGTAACATCCCAGTGACTGATGGAGAAGTTTGCACAAGCGGTCACCTCTGACTGCTTGGCTTTCTGATGGGTTTGGTGACGTCAACCATGACATCATTAGATACCTGACATGATAGAGGTGCTGAGCAGCAACTTACTCTCTAAGAGCATTAGAGCATGGGGTCTGATACAACAAATCCACTGTGGTACAACCAGGTCTGACAATACTTTGTGCTACAATCAATCATTCTTGCAATATTATTCAGTAGACTTGTGGGAACTCCATTCGTACAAAATCTATTTCTGGAGCGGAGTACCCAAGTGTAAGGGGAAAACACTTCTAGTTAATGGCAGAAGTCCTCATTTGCGACTCGGAGCTGTTATTGAGTATGTACGGTCTGGCACGGCACCTGGCAATGCTTCTTTTTTAAGCTTATCCACTGCTGTCGTGCCTCCTCAGCCTCTGACACATTCTTCCCTCATCCAAACTCACTAAAGGTACGGATTAATTGGCCACCCACCTCATTGCTGACTGTAATTATGTTGTTGGAGCAGATTAGCTGCCACATTTACATACATCTCAAAGCGCTTAAGATTACAGCAAGATTCCATGCATTTCAAAGAAGCTTTGTGGGAAGTGCTTTAAGACGTTTGGTTGTGATAAGGCAATATATCAAAAGGATGAAGACTATTATATTTCAATAAATTATTTTGTAATTAGTGTATATTTCAGCTTTACAGTCATTTTTTATTGGATTTGTAGGTACTTGGACCATGACTTTAAGTTATTCAAATTCTTAAATTCATAATTCTTACAAATTATGCTCTAAATACCTTTGATTTCCAATTAAAAAATGGCCTTGTAGCTGAAATATACACTATAATTACAAAATAAATTATCTAATATAATAGGATTTGTGTGTCAGCCTGGCTCAGTGGTAGCACTCTTGCCTCCGAGTCAGAAGGTTGTAGGTTCAAGCCCCGATACTTGGAATCACATAATCTAAGTTAACACTCCAATGCAGTGCTGGGGTGCTGCATGGCAGAGGTGCTGTTCTTCGGATGAGATGTTAAATCAAGGTCCCATCTGTCTGTTCAAGTGGACTTTAAAAGATCCCGTGGCACTATTCAATCCATCCCCATTCAATCCGGAATCATTCTTATAATCCGTGTCTGTACCCTCTCCAAGGCCTTAACACCTCTCCTGATGTGACGTACCCAGAACTACACAATATTCCAGGTTTTAGTTTAAATTAATTTCCAATTGTATACAAAAAATAGTGGATATGAGGTCGGGCAGTGTTAGAAACCTAGGACCTTACAATCATAGAAACTTTACAGCACAGAAGAAGGCCATTCTGCCCATCATGTCTGTAGCGGCTTCTTTGAAGAGCAATCCATTCAGTCCTATTTACCTGCCATTTCCCCAATAGGAAGTGGAGTCTTGTAGCTCAGTGGTTGGAGCACTCACTTTGCAAGCAAGAGACCTGAGTTCAATTCCAGGGAGGGCGAAACCTTGGGCAAGTTTCCTTACTCCACACACCTAATAATAATCCCTCCAAAACCAATAATAAATTGGTCATTTTCAATCTACGACTGTTTGTGGGACATTGCTGTGTGCAATTGGCTGCCGCGTTCGCCCACAAATATACAGTCAATTCACTTTACAGTGTATTCTGTGAAGCGCTTTGGGACGTCCTCCCGACATGAAAAGCGCTATATCAAATGCAAGGATTATTATTATCATTATTAATACCCCTGTAGCTTACTCCCTTTCCGATAACTATTCAGTTTCCTTCTGAAAGCTAACATGGATTTGGTCTCACAGCTCCTGCAGAATCCATGGATATTTTCAAAAGCCTACCAGAGGAATGTAAATTTAAGGTAAAAATGTTTAAAAACCAAACTTTATTTAATGGAGTTTTAAAGTATATTTTTAAAATTAGTTTTGTAGATTCTCTAGTAGGATATATAGAATTTAGGGCTGTTTTTGTAAATGTTAAAGGATTTATAGTATTGAAGGACATCATGGAGTTTTTAAGAGTTAAGTTATTTTATTGGATTAATATTATATTCTAGGATTTATGCATTTTAATGAGGTCTAAAGTATTTTTAAGGATTTGCATTTTCTATGGAGTTTAAAATATATTTTGAGATTTATTTTTGCAGTGACTATAGGCTTATAAAATATCAGTCAAAGATTTACAAGTTTTATATTTTATGTAACGATTGGAGTCCTGTAGCTCAGTGGTCAAGAGCACTCGTCTCGCAAGCGAGAAGACCTAGGTTCGATTTCCCGGCAGGGCAAAATGTTGGGAAAGTTTCCTTATGCCACACGCCTCTGTTTACCTAGCAGTAAGTAGGAACCCAGTTGTTAGTTGATTGGCAGCTCATGTTTCCGGGGTAAAAATTCCTTTATTAAAAAAAATTGGTCACTTCAATACACGACTGTTTATGGGTCACTCTGTGCGCAATTGTCTTCTGCGTTTCACCCAGAAAATATACAGTCAATTCACTTTATAGTATATTCTATGAAGCACTTTGAGACGTCTCGAAGATGTGAAAAGTGCTATATCAAATGCAAGGATTATTATTTTATTATATTTCTGTGGTATTTATGATATTGTTGAACATCATAAAGATTTCACAGGAAAACCGCTGATAACTCGTCACTCTAAGTGGGATGGGGTTAGTGATGAATTATCTGGAGGGTGAATTAAGCATAAATTTATTATTTTTTTGAGGGATTATTAAAGTATTATTAAACTGTAATTAAAGGGTTTTATATTGAACATAGGGTGCCCATAAGTTCCCGATTCCCGGGGACTTTTCCCCGATGAGGTATTGTGTCCCCGGGGGCCAAATATGCCCTGTCTTGAGTTCAGCAACAAACTCAACAACAACAACTTGCATCTACATAGCGCCTCCCACGCCGGGTGGCGTCCCAGAGCATTTAACAATGGCAGAGCCTGATGTCGAGGCAGGGTGAGGGGAAAGGTGACCGTAGGCACGGTCGAAGAGGAAGGCCTTCAGGCACAACCTGAAAATGGGGAAAGAGATTGAGGGAGGGAATTCCACAGCTTTGGGGCATAGTGGCTGAAGGCATAATCGCCAATGGTGGAGCGGAGGATTCAGGAAACAATAATAATTCTAAAACAAAGACACTCATCAGAGAAACGCAGCCATCAGTTCAACTCCAGTAACTGCCAGCATCAGCCATTGCGGGGAGTTGAATTTTATTTATGTTTTCCCGGATTTGTTTTACAAAATAGGTCACCCTAGTTTTTTGGGGGTATTTGGGCTGTAATATAAAGGATTTATATTATTTATCAGTTTAGGGGAATACACAGAGTCTGGGGTATTTTGATTCTAATATATTAGTTTGGGGGGCATTTTGGCTTTAATGTAAAGGGTTTATATTATTTTTATTGATGGATAATTAGGAATATTTAAAGGGTTTATGCGGTTTACGGGTGAGCAGGGTTGAAAGATATTTTGACTGTAATATAAATTATTTAGATTATTTTATATCAATTTAAGGGTATTTTGGATGTAATGTGCAGGGTTTATATGGTTTCGGGTGAGCAGGATTATATCATTAGATCTGATTTAGGGTCTATTTGATGCGTCAGATAACGGATTTATATTATTATACTCTATACGGCTTAGTGTGAGTAGGGTTTGGGGGATATTTGGGGTGAAATATTATATGGCTTAGTGTGAGTGGGTTTAGGTGTATTTATGGGGTATTTGTGGTGTAATATATAGGATTTATAGACATATATATAGGAGGGGAGCCCTGTAGCTCAGTGGTTAGATCGCCTCGCAAGCGAGAGACCGGGGTTTGATCCCCGGCAGAGCGAGCTCCCGGGCAATTATACACCCGATAATAACCCCTCAAGAAAGAAACAATAATAAGTTGGTCACTTCGGTCCACGACTCCTCTGTGACTGCTGTGTGCAATTGGCCGCCGCGTTTCACCCACAAAATATAGTCAATTCACTTAACAGTATAGTCTGTGAAGCGCTTTGAGACGTCTCGAAGACGTAATAAAGCGCTATAACAAATGCGAGGATTATTATTATATCTGAGTTGGAATGAGTGGGGCCGGGGGGGGGGGGGGGGGGGGGGGGGGTGGACCCGGGGGTTGGGCCCGGGGTTGGGGCCCGGGTTGGGGGTTGGGCCCGGGGGTTGGGCCCGGGGTTGGTGTTGGGGCCCGGGGCCGGGGGTTGGGCCGAGGTTGGGCCCGGGGCCGGGGTTGGGCCCGGGGTTGGGGCCGGGGCCGGGGGTTGGGGCCGGGGGGTTGGGGCCGGGGGTTGGGCCGGGGGTTGGGCCCGGGGCCGGGGGTTGGGGCCCGGGGCCGGGGTTGGGCCCGGGGGTTGGGCCGGGGGTTGGGCCCGGGGTTTGGGGCCGGGGGTTGGGGTTGGGCCCGGGGCCGGGCTGCCGCTTACCAGGCTCTGGGAGAAAGACGAGATGATGCCGCCGGGTCGCACATTGAACTCCGCCGTGTGGGCCTCGCCCTGGGCCGCGCTCACACACACCCACAGGGTCAGCCACAGCCACCGGCTCCCCGGCCCCAGGCCCGGCCTCGGCCTCACACACACAGCACAGCGCGCCATCCCGCCCCTCCTGCCCGCCCCTCACACCCCCCCACACCAACCACAGCGCCGCCAGCTCCCCTCAGGCCACACTGAGTAGTACACACAACACCCAGAGCAACACTGAGCAACAGCCAGAGTAACACTGAGTAACACTGAGCATCAGCCAGAGTAACACTGAGTAATACACAGCAACACCCAGAGCAACACTGAGTAACACTGAGCAACAGCCAGAGTAACACTGAGCAACAGCCAGAGTAACACTGAGCAACAGCCAGAGTAACACTGAGCAACAGCCAGAGTAACACTGAGTAACACTGAGCAACAGCCAGAGTAACACTGAGCAACAGCCAGAGTAACACTGAGTAACACTGAGCAACAGCCAGAGTAACACTGAGCAACAGCCAGAGTAACACTGAGTAATACACAGCAACACCCAGAGCAACACTGAGTAACACTGAGCAATAGCCAGAGTAACACTGAGCAACAGCCAGAGTAACACTGAGCAACAGCCAGAGTAACACTGAGTAACACTGAGCAACAGCCAGAGTAACACTGAGTAATACACAGCAACACCCAGAGCAACACTGAGCAACAGCCAGAGCAACACTGAGCAACATCCAGACTAGCACCGAGTAATAGAGTGACATTAAGTAATTGAGTGACACTGAGTAATCTAGTGACACTGAGTAATACAGAGTGACACTGCGTATTAGAGAATAACACTGAGTAAGAGAGAGACAGAGCAATAGACTGAGTAATAGAGAGACACTGAGTAATGGAGGGACTGAGTAATAGAGAGAGACACTGAGCAATATGCGCACAGCAGTGCCTCACAAACAGCCATATTAATAATAACAATACTTGCACTCCCACAGCGCCTTATCGCGCCATGTCCAGGCTATGGTTTTATTGTACGTTCAGCACTATTAATCGGAGCTGGACTGTAGCGTTCACTGCAGCTTTGTTGTGTCTCTGACCTGTCAGCGCTGCGTGCAGACAGCATAATTACTGAAACAAAAACTGAAGGTACTGGGAGCACTCAGCAGGTCAGGCAGCATCTATGGAGAAAGGAAAGTGGGTCAACGTTTCCGGTCCACGACCCTTGGTTAGAACTGGGTCGTGGACCCGAAGCGATCCCAGCGACTTCTGTTTTTGTTTCAGATTCCCAGCATCTGCAGCGCTTTCTTTTTAGTATAACTCCACTGTTCTCTCAAACAGACACCAACTTTTTTTAGAAAAGGGGAAAAGCAGCTTTGACTGAGCGCAAACATTCCCAAAAGGCTCAATCTTTTCTGGCAGACCAGACAACGCTGCTGTGGCATCGCCATCTCGTGCTCTCCCTGTGAAATTACAAATCGGGAGACATCCATCAATTCTGATCGCAGCAAACCGCTCAGGTTATACAGCTGGAGATTGCTGACATCTCACCAGCACTGACCGTAGCGCTTTCACCAGATGATAGCGTGACAATCTTCTACTTACACGGGTTTGCAAGTGTCCCTCCTCCCGCTCTCTGGAACTCTCCCCAAATCCCGCCACCTCATATCCTGCTCTCTCTCTTTTCAAAACGCTTCTAAAAGCCTATCTCTTCAGCCATCTGTCTCCAATACCCCAACCCCCACACCCCCATCTCCCACCTTGCTTCAGCTTTCACTCAGTCACTCAGAGGCTCTTGAGATGTCGTCTTATGTGAAAGGTTTAATGCAAACTGTTATGGTAAATAACAACAAATTGCATTTATATAGCGCCTTTCATGTCCCTAGTTCCCGGTGCTATACAACGAATCACAGGAATATGGCGTGTCCTTACAATGTCAAGAGTTTCATCAAGGAAAAAGCTTTTTGATCCAATTGATCTCATCTTCCTATTACAACTTGCAGCTGTTTGTTAAATGATTCCCAGCATCTTGGCCTCAATCACCCTCGCTGGTGATCCATTCCATGCTGCATACAAATTGCCTGTCATGTTCGCCCTTTTTTGGGGGCTCAGCTGGATGTCTGACACATGCGGAAACCCATCACCCTGCTTAACAGTATCCAAAATAAACTGAAAATTACATGCATCCCACCTATGCCAGAGAAAGAATGTTGTAATGGAATGCGCTCTCACTCCCTAGAGGGATGAATCCTAATTCTGGAAAGTATTAGGAGCAGGTTGGCAAGAGTCAAGGCTTGTCAGACATCCAGGGTGTGCTTTGGGATAACTGCGAGAGTAAACCATCAGTTTTACTGAAATTAGACGTTTCACAGTATTCCTGATTAAAATTCACTTCATGACTGTTTTTGGGACAATGCTTGTTTGCAAATTGGCCGTCACATTCGTCTACAAATACTCAGCCACTACACTTTACAATAAATCCTGCGAAGCGCTTTGAGACGTTTCAATGACGTAAAGCATTACATCAAATGAAAGGATTATTATTACTACTATAGAATCCTGTAACAAGAATAATTACTACATTACTATTGAATGGTTTTACTACTGAGAACACTGGAATACATGTACAACACCAATGAAATATTGTCAATGTTTTCTTATGTTTTGTAGCAAAGTTAACATAAGTAACATAAGAATTTGCTGGGCAAAAGAAGACCAAGGTCTATCCAGTTCGCCTTCCACCATCCTGGAGGTCGCATGACATGCGGTGTCACAAACTGTATACTGTATCCCGAAATATTATCTCCTAACAGAAATCTATCTAATTTGTTCTTGAACGAATTGGCACTTTCTGCTTCCAACGTCTGTCTCCCTGGGGAGCCTGTTCCACACGTTTACAACTTGCTCAGTGAAGTAGTGTTTCCGTCAGAATCAGAATTAGTATTACATCAGATATCCACTTTAGTTGTTTCCCTAAAAGCTCTGTTGCTAAAGGCATTGCTTAATGTGGAAATGAGCCAGACAGGCCAGTAAGGTCCCAGGTTCAATGTGCAGAGATAGCTGATGTATTTTACATCTCCTCAGTTTCAATATGTTCTAATCTGTTACATCCAGGTAATGCATCTGCTTATCTGCGGCTTGTGTGTTCAAACCCCATGTTGGGTCTTTGAAGTCATAGTCTATGCTTCCATGTAATAATAATAATAATCCTCACCTTTGATATAGCTCCTTATCATGCCATCAAAACATCTCAAGGCATTTCACAGGATTTATTGTAAAGTGTAGTGACTGTATACTCTGTGAGTAAAACACAGCAGCCAGTTTTCGTGCAGCAGTGTCCCAATGAAGTAATTGACCATTTTTTTCCAGGGGACTGTTGGCCAGGATAGTTGAACCAGGTTTCGCAATTAAAAACAAGGTCCTCATAAATGATCTGTGTAACCTTTCCACATGTTAAAGAATTAATCAAGTCCACTTTCACACTTACACATTCTTGTCTCTCACAAGCCTGTTTTCCGCGGTGAAAAGTTAACAGAGAGCGACTTTCTGTCCTTCTCACACCAGGGTCAGCGACCCAGACTAAAACAACTGGCGCTGTTTGTTTAACATCTGTTTGAGCAAAGGTTTGCCGGTGAATGAAGCTCTCCTGTTTGCCCCAGCTGTACAGACAAACATGTATCTCCCAGTGACTAGACTAGACAGGGTCTAGTAAGGATATTTTATCACCTCAATGGAAACCTCACAAGTAGGGGGCTGGAGCATGACTTGTGTAAAATTCCAACATCAAAGCGGGATCTAGTTCCTTGCAGATTTCACAGATGTGGCTCATAGTCTTATGAAAAATGTTGAAGAATTCATGTGGACACAAGGCCATGTCCTCTCCTTGACTTCTCTCCTGCTCTCTTCTCCTTCTCCCGCAGAGTAAAATGGGCAGCTCTGCATTTAGCATGAGTTAGTAGGCTGCATATACATAGATAGATCTGACCAGATCATCAGGTATCAGCCTGGCTCAGTTGCTAGCACTCTCGCTCTCATCTCTGAATCAGAAGATTGTTGGCTCAAGCCCCACACCAGGACAGGTCTCCTGACTCCTGACCCAACTGTCCAGCGCCTTGGGACGTCCTCCCGACGTGAAAGGCGCTCTATAAATGAAATCTTGTTGTTGTTGTTGTTGTTTATGTGACACTGCTGTGCATTATTGGCTGCTGCGTTTCAGTCACAAAATGCACGGTTAATCCACTTCACATTGCTTTGAAATGTCTCAACAATGTGATAAGGCACTATCTCAAATGCAAGGATTATTATTATTTGAATTCATATGGCCCAGGCTCACACTCCAATGCAGTGCTGGGGGCATGCTACATTGTTGGGATGCCATCCTTCAAATGAGACATTGAACCAAGGTTCTTTCTACCTGTCCAAGTAGATGTTAAAGTTCCCGTTGGCCCTATTCAAAAAGAGAAAGGAGTTTTTCCCAGTGTCCTGGCCAACAGGCACCCAATAAAGTTGGATCATTGCCTTCATGGCTTTTGTGGAAAACTGCTGTGCACAAATTGGCTGCCACATTCGCTTACAGAATACACAATCACTGCACTGTGCAGTACAGCAAATGCTCGGAACTGAGAGGTTATACCTATCAGGAAAGGCTGAACATACTTGGACGCTTTTCTCTTGAAAAGAGGAGGGTGAGGGGTGACCTGATAGAAGTCTTTAAAATGATGAAAGATTTTGGTAGGGTCGACATAGGGAAGATGCTTCCACGTGGGGGAAACCAAAATCAGGGGCCATCAATATAAAATAATCACAAGTAGATCAAATAGGGAAGTTAGAAGAAATTTCTTTAGACAAAGAAGTGGGAATGTGGAACATGCTACCACAAGAAGTTGTTGAGGCAAATAGCGTAGATGTATTTAAGGGGAAGCGAGATAGGTACATGAGGGAGAAAGGAATAGAAGGTTATGCTTGAAGGCTTAGTTAAGGAAGGGCAGGAGGAGGCTCATGTGGAGCATAAACACCGGCATAGACCTGTTGGGCCGAATGGCCTGTTTCTGTGCTGTATATTCTAATGTATTCTAAGTGCTTTGAGACGTTCTCCTGATGTGAAATGCAATCTAGCAAATGTAAGGATTACTTTTATTATTTTTGTTAATCCACTGCATTGGTGTGTGTGTATATATATATATATATATATACAGGCGG